GAGGGAGGGGGGGGGGGGCTAGCCTGCCTATTTAAAAAAATAAAATTAAATAGGCAGGCCAGGCCTGCTGAACCCGCGGCCCATAGTGGTGTACTGGTGTGGGTTGGGTCAATATTTTACAAGCCCGCCACAATGGCCCCACCCCGTCGAAAGGCGGGCTGCGGCCGGTCCCGCCCGCCAGGACAGGGAACTTGCGGATTAGTTCAAATATTTTAGGGAACATTAGCTCAAAGGGTGCCTTGTAGGACAGGGAACTTGCGAGGCAGAGTATCCGAGTTCTCAAATGAGGTAGGAATAAGCGACAGAGATGGATGTTGTGTAGTGTATTGGTCTGTTTTTTAGCAATTAGCATTCACCTAAGCTATAGAAGCATAAAATGACAACACAAATAATAAAAATTCAAACTAAAGTTCACCTATGTCATCTGGTAAAATAAATAAGGAAAAAGGCATCTCCTATGCCTAAATCAGCAAGCAAAGACAATAAATTATCCACTTTTCTTCATTCACGCACTTTTAGCAGAACCAACCTTCATTAATCACATTTTCCCATTAACATGAAAGAAAATCAGATGCTAGCTACCTGTAAAGAATCTAACATATTAATCATTTCATAAAAGAACTTTAACATCGCCAAACAACTCCATCAACCGATACCCAACATCGTCGTAGTCGACCTCCGCCTCCTTAAAACACGAACCGAAACTCCTCCTCGATGCACAAACCCCTCGACCCCAAAAACTCCCGAAAGCAAACTCGCCCCGCCCCGAAAACTCCTCCAGCTCGCGCTCGATTTCTTCCATCAATTTCTCCCCGTACCTAACCGACTCGACTAGGTCAAAATCATCAATTTCGATCCTCGAGGACTTCTCTTGTAATCCTCCTTGCGCTTCGAGCTTCACAATCACGGGCTTTTTACTCCGGGCCTTCAACTTTTTCGCGTACTCTCTCGTCTTCTTGAATAGCTTGCTCGGGAGTTTGAGAAGTAGGAATACGAGGATCTGCAGGATCATGCACTGACAGCAACATGATATGACAATGCAATCTGCGGCTAACATGTTTGGGTCCTCCATGACAGTTTCCCGTGCCTGCGGGCCGAGTGGATTGGGAATGATGGGATGAGAGGAAGGGAGAGAAAGTGATTATTGATGGGAGTCATTTTAAGTTTTCGAGGCACAAAGGAATTTGAGTGTTTTCTTGTGATCTTGGGAGGGTATTATGATGTGTGAAGCAATGAGGATTGCAATGCTGGGAAGTTAAAGCAATAAAATTAGCTACAAGTCATGGTCAATGACTTCATGTTGTTGCTAGGGATTTTGTGGGGGATTGTGATTGAGTTGTAAAATGGCATGTGAAAGATTGCTTGCTAAGAATAATAAAGAAAACAAAA